TCTTCTTGATTTTGATAAATAAATTATATATATATAATTTTAGTACTGCTAATTCAAACTAAGCCCCAGTTTGGTGCACATTATTTGTTCAAGAATGCATTTTTTTTGTTTGATGTGATGAGAAATATGTGGTTGAAAAAGAAGGAAAGATTATTGAATTAATGAAAAATATTATTTTATTGAAAAATGTGTGGTTGAAAATGAGTAGAAGAATGAGAATGAAAAAACTAATGTGGCTCAAACAAGGGCTAAATAGAAATCAATGTTTGTCAATTAGATTTATTATCTTATAATTTATTTTAAAATTTCAAAAACTAATCATTGATATGTCCTAAATAATTTGCTTTTGTTGAATTGAAATTATTTGTACTTTGGGGACCATGATTTAAATCCATATTAAAGGTAGAATGAAGTAAATAATTAAACATTTAAGAATTCAATTGGCCTAGACCCTGTAGCTTTTAAAATTATCACACAGTTTGCCATAGAAAATGCGGAAGAGGATAATCTTTTAAAACCAGCCTAACTTTTATCCCACGTCGATTCCCCATAAAAAAACGTACACGAGGATAATCTTTTAAAAACCAGCCTAAGTCCTAATTTCTATTTCACATCGGTTGAACATACAAAATGTGTAAGAGGATTCTCTTTTAAAAGTAATTAACAGTTTGAAGTCAAATGATATGGGCCCCTTGCCATTGCAATTGAGCCCATTAAACAAAACTGATTTCATTTCATTTCTAAAAAATAAAAAATAAAGAAGTGAAAGCCTCACATAACCAGTTTTTCGATTTGCGCTTAACTGGTGAGTTCATGGGTCTATTAATCGGTTTTTCTTTTTGAGGTTAATATATAGTGATCGGATCGAATTTGGGGTCGGTTCCTGATTTTTTTGATTGAATCGGTCTGTTCAGTCCGATTTTAATAACATTGAGCATATGCAATTGTTTTTTTTTTTTTTTTTTTTTTTCTGGAATTTCTTATTGTTTATAATAATAATTGTACTACATTGAATTAGTCTTTCCCATGACAAACAAGTAGTGTACTTAAAACTGTTGAAAAATTGGTACATAATTATGTCTTTTTAACTAAAAAACGATTACATGCAAATAAAATAAAATCACGACTTTCGACGTACTTATGTAAAACACTGAATGGACTTTAAACTTATCGAAATCAAGATACGCACGTAAAAATATGCACAAATAGCGACTTATCGAAAAGTAGAAAATGCAGAAATTAGGAGAAAGTGAAATTAAATGATTTATGCAATTGCAAATCATCAAGATATATTTTGCCTCTATATTAGTGCTACCAACATCAAACAAACGTCTATCTTCCAAATTAACATAGCACAATAATAATTTTGTTGGGCGAACCAACTTTGACTGTACTCTTCAATGCCAAAAGATATCTAACGTGAAACTTGAAGATAATTTGAAAATTATTTTGACGGAATTTGAATGAGAAAGAAATTTAGAAATTAAGGCCCTGTTCTCTTTATCGTTTTCAAGTCGTTTTCTGTTTTCAATTTTCAAAAACAGTGAAAACGCGTTCTTTTTTCTATTTCTGAAAACACGTTTTTGAAAATGACAAAAATTTTTACACACAAAACACAAAACATGGTTTTCCACGTTTTGAG